CCTCCCTTCGCTTTTCTGGATCCCACCCCAAACCCTGTGTTGTGCAGGCTTATTCCTGTTTTTGTGGAGACGTTGTGAGACTGATTGTATCACCTTGTGATGGTATCTGGAGTCAAGGATACTGTAGCAAGATAAGTTTGGGGCGTGAGTTCGTTGCAGCTGGTGATGTCGTGTCGCCTTTTTCCACCTGATCGCTTGCTACTATTGTATGCATCATTATCATTCCATTCGTCGCGTGACTCCCACCCCTGTTGTGTAATTGTAGTTGTTTAACTGTCGAGCTGTCGACATAGGTGGTGTCCTACACCCATTTCGAAACTAGCGGGGATCGTCCTCGACGTTAGTTGTAGGTTAGTTGCACATAACACCAACAAACGACACCCCAGAACCAAAGGACACATCAATCCAGCTCACCCAAGCCGGCAATATCCCGGAGAGGGGCTCGCGATGAGCGTACGGTGGTGGCATCACCTCCGCCACGTGCAACAGAACACCCGTCCGTACACAATTGCAATTTTCCGTGCGTTGTACTTGCTCACTTCACCAAGCCCCTCCACGTCCCTCAATAAGACCAAACAGCCGCTTCTTCGAATGCTTAGTTGGGTGCCTATTAAAGGTCACGTTCACACTCCGCATTCATTTCTTTGTGGGCGTGGTGTCTGATGCAGCGGCCAACTTGGACTGGGACACAACTTCACTGCGAAGGAGCAGACCCCTCAAAAGGTTCCCCCTCTAGGAAGAGCCAAGATTACTCAGCTAGCTTGTGGGCAGGACCACACCGCCGTCCTCACCAGTGAGTTATTTGACCACTTTATCCACAGGCGGCGAGCGCCGTCGCGACTCGCCTCGTCTCTCGCTGACCTGTTCTGTGAAGACGTTTGAGGACGTTTGCGTGAAGAGAGTACTGATTGTCCGCGTTTTCCTGTCTTTCGGGTGGACACGTGCTCGTCTTGGTTCCTCGAACAGTGCGATTTTTGAAGGTTTTATGCTCGACGTCGTTGTGCAAATGTATTGCCTGTGTCAAGTCTCGCGTTCTTGGGTGCTTCTGTACAGTGCGGCAATGGCCTGAAGAACCGATTTTGCTCTATGGTAGCTCATGGTAGCATTCATAGGTACTTGGGTCGAATCAACCGTGGCTATCCAAATGTCCGATGGCCAGGTTCGGGTGAACTGTTCATGTTCGGCAACAACCGGGATGGGGCCCTTGGAGTAGCCGGGCATGCTAATGAGGGGCCTCCAATCGTGGCTTCTGCTCCACAGGTATTGTAGTACATTACCTCGCGATGCAAACCTGAAACTTTGAAGGGAGTAGAGGAGTCCCGCATGGTTTTGTTTGAAAGACCTTCCGAACATGCAATGGTACACGTGCAAGATGTGGGAGGGTGTTTGCATGTATGTTTGCTCGACGTAAGCAGACCGCTAGAGGATGTTCATCAGGCCCGTCGTGTCGCCCACTTTCACCAACGCTACACTCTATCGCTGCTGCTGCTGCTGCTGCTGCTGCTGCTGCTGTTGCAAGTTCTGAACGTTTTCGTGTTTACCGCAACGCCTGCTGCTTTTCATTGCTGCATCGGCGGCACCTACGCGCGCGCATACAGCTTGTGACAGGTTTGAAGGGCAAGCACGTGGTGCAGATTGGATGCGGTCTACAACATACGGTGGCTCTCACAGCGTGAGTGGAAGTGTTCGTATGTTGCGCACATAGCGTGGTCTATACAAGCGTTTTTGTTGTTTCCGTTTTCACTCCTCTCCACGTTTTATTTGGCTACATGTAGAACACGGCGGGCATGCAGCCTCTCTTGTACCCTCTCACACTTCAGGCCTCAGGCTGCCCACTCGACCCAGATTCACTCGTTGGATCAAAGTAGCAGCAAGCTTGCTGTTTACGTCAAATGCGCCTCGCAATGTAGGTCAAATGCCAGCAACACCGCGACTTGTTGTAACGAAAACGATCGCTTCACGCGCGCGAGGAAACACCATCAACAGTATTTAATGTTCCTCTCTTGCTGCTGTCGCTGCTCTGGCTGTCATGTGCAGTGCCGGGGGGGTGTACTGCTGGGGCGAGAACGGTAGGGGGCAGCTCGGAACCGGAGATACTCAGAATCGGGTGAGCACCGTAAGGGCCAAGTGCACACAGGTCCAAACCCCCAACAGAGTCGAGTCGAGTCGATCCAAGAGGCTTGCGGGCGGGCTCTTGACGGCTCTCGTGCTGCGCGCACCACCGTAGGTTACAAAAGGTACCCCGCCCCCTAGGCCGATTTTCACAGCCAGAGTCTGCAGCACAGGCAGTGACGATGCCGAAAATGTCGGCGTTGGAACCGTCTTTGTTGAGAGCTTTTCGATACCACAGTGCAACATCTGGTCGTGACATACATCCTCGTCATCGTGGTGTGGCAGGGCTTTCGTCATCAAAATCGGCCCGTGCGGTGCGGTTTCTTACGCAGCCCAACCCTATGCAGAGGAGGCAGCGCTTCAGATAACTTGCCATTGCGTGGCGACGTACTGTGGCTTTATCTTATCTGCATTCCTGCTGAAGGTCTCTTCTCTATGTCAAGCAAAACGTTGACGCATTTGATGCGTTTGTCGCGTGCTCGAGCCACCAAGTTGATGATTCGAGCACGGCAAGATTTCAATTTTCAGTGACGTCACTTGCATGGTGGCGGCTTCAATTGCCTCCCGTATAAATGTATAACGAGTGTGGTATCATAACACTAACATTTCATGTGTGACGTCATCACCTGGCATTCCAGACTACAGCATGAAGGAAAGACAAGGCTCTGTACCTGACCCCTGCCCCGTTACGCCTGCTCCCTTCGCCATTTATCAGTACACGCCTTCTTTGGTATGCAAACCCCTCTCGGCGTTCAAGTGCATACATGTGGCTTGCGGCGGGCAGCACACGATTGCTGTCACCGACTGCGACGACGTGTACGGCTTCGGCTCTGATCGACATGGACAGCTAGGATTGGGGCGCCGTGGTGTCATCGTACCCATACCCACCAGGTATGTCCTAGCAAGCTGGGATGGGAGGGACGTGATGAATCTGGTGGTCTTGGAGCTCCTTGTGTTGCTGCATTTGATTATTGCATTGGTCGCTCTTGGTTGCCCTGTGCTTGTGGTTGTCCTTGTTGTTCTTTGCCTCACAGCGGGTCAACTGCTGATGGTTGTTGTTTGCGTGGCGGTTCCGCGAGAAAAACGCGTCTCAAAATTGCGATGTTGGTCGCTTCGTCTGTCGAAGCCTTTGAATGGACTCAGCCACGGTATCGTCGGCCACATCACGCCTGGCGTTGTTGCGCTGTTGCGTTGGATGGTTTCAACAACAGGATAGTGAGGCTCGGGGGGCGACGTGTGAAGAACTGCGTGGGAGGGGCATGGCACACCATCATCGGAACGGTCACGGGGGAGCAGTACATCATGGGCTGCATCCTTCCCTCCGGTGAGACAAGCTGAGGATGACGTACGTACGATGACGTATGATGAAACCGCCGTGTGGGCTGTTGTCGGTTTTGTTTCGTTTCGTGACGGCGTATGGGACAAGCTGAGGATGAAATCGGATGACGTAGAAAACCATCACGTGTGTGTGTGTGTGTGTTTGGCTTAGAATTCGTTTCGCGACGGGCGAAGACTGCTGTTTGAAGCTCGTCCGTTGGATGAAGAGAATGAATGCCCTGTGGTAACTTTTTACCCCCGTTTCGTGCGCGTGGGTAATCAAATCGCGTTCGTTACCTTTGGCCGACACAAACATGTAGCTCCATAATTGCACTCGTGAAGTGCGCGCGTGTTGCATGCACGCCACGATGTGCGGTTCAACCGTGAACTCCTCGGCATATTTTCCGGCGTAATATCAAAATAATATTGAACCAAACCTTTGCTGGTCGGTCGCCTTTGCCCAGCAAACTCGCCGCCGGTGGCGGGAGGTGGTGCAAGCGGGGCCACCGGAGCCACTTCCTCGTCAGATCCGTTCGCTCTGTCATGCGGGGACTTCCGTCGCCTCTTGCTTCCTCGAGGGGCCGAGGCATGCAGCAAAGGACACTCCCTGTTGTACGGGCAGGGCTTGGGTGCTCCGCCTAGCGCACTGCGCGAGGTATGCCTTGTCGTCTATCGTCTGTATTCGGAGACTGCTGTATGTAGACGAGGTAGGTGCTGTCGCACGCCCCAATGTCATAGTGGGCCAAGCAAAGTCTGTGCTTGAGTGACTCCCGCATACGTACCCCAAATAGATTCTTCAATAGTGTTGATCAAAAATGTCTGTCAGCTGTAGTGCCCCCCTTTTGAGGCCAGCGTTGAGAGTGAAGGTAGTCCGGGTCACCGTGTGCAGCTGCTGCAGGGGGCTTGCTCGTGTCGAACATAAGATAACTTCAGGCATGCTGGAATATTGGTGTTGAACATGCAACTAACACCGAAGGTAAAGGGAATCGGCCCCTTTTTTTGTTAGACTTGTAGCACAGCCGTGGGGGCCGCATTGAATCGTTTTCTAAATGTTTTCTAGTCTCTTAGAGGTAACTACGCGTGCGACGACACCCCGCTCTTTCTCCCCTCCCCTCCCCTTCCGCTCCCCCCGGTGTTTGTCATCGGGGTTGGGTTTTCGTCGCTTGGCAACGACGTTGTAAAACAAGCCCCCCCCTCGGTGTTTGCCATCGGGATTGAGTTTTCGTCGATTTGCAACGACGTTGTAAAACAAGCCAATGCACTTCGTTGAGGTCGGCAACCANTCTGTCTCGGGAAGTGAAAGCACCAGAAAATAATTTGAGTCATACGCAGCTGTCATCCGTACGCAAGGAAGTAAGCACATGATGCCGAACACCCTTAGCAGGCTGCAGCGCACCCTTCATGCGAGTCGCCGAATACCTCACGGCGCTTCGCGCTTGGTGATGTGAGAGCCTGGTCCGGTGAGAACCCGGCGTGCTCCGTCCCGGCTTTGTAGGGATGCGAGGTCAATGGTCTAACGACTGCAGCATGCACGACTATGAAAACACCCCCCCCCNAAATCGTTGGGGCGGCTCAAGTGCGACTATTCTAGGATGCTAGTGCGGCAGAAGCCTGACGTCCTCTTCACTCCTCACGCCCATCACGACAGCGATAGCCCTCTTGATCACGATTCCCGCATCAGAAGCGTCGGCGCGGGCAGTATGCCTTCCATCGGCGGTGCTGCTGGCGGAGAGGGAGAGGGAGAGGGAGAGGGAGAGGGAGAGGGCGACTTGTCGAGCTATGATCATCCTGTTGGCGCTCACCTGTCTGTCTTGAAGTGAGAGTCAGAAGCTCGCAACGCGGGGACAGATGTGTAATGTTATTGAGAAGGAATGGCGGCAGGCAGGCAGATACATGTATGAGAGGCACCTACCTGTGTTGGGGTGGCCTGGTGTGTTGGCGTGGTGGGGCTGCTTGGCGGTGTTGTGTGGTGATGTTGAGGTTTTCGCTGTGAACGAATTCGTTGGAACCAACCAGCGGACGAAGCTCTTATGGGGTTTCCTCTTTTTGTTCTGGTGTCCTGCGTTCACTGATGTAGTAGGCTTTTTCGAGCTTATGCCATCGACCGCCCGAATGCTCGATGTTTTTTCCCTGCATGTCCCATATCTCGTTGTTTGCATCACTTTACTCCACCAGACAGTAGAAACGTGGATGAACAACTCAGTGTTACCATAGAGCTTGATGCGAACACGTGTGCTGTAATAGTGGTTTGCCATATGCATACTCCGGATATTGCAGTCAGTCTCTTTGTGGCGATGCCTTCCTTCCTTCCTTTGTCTTCCGACAGTCGTGGTGCGGTGCACCCCTTAAGGGTACTACTGTACGCCTCGCCCTCGCCTCGTAACCCCATGATACTACTTCTACTATACCACCGACTAAAATGCGATGCCTGACTGATGTGCCAACACCCCTTGCCCGGCCACCGGTAAACAATACAATACCTTCGCCACAACCTTCGTACCGAAACAGGGCTCGCTGTCCGCCACTGTACGAGCACGCGGCAACCGTTATATCTCGATGTCGATCTCGATGTCGATCTCGACAGGCCCCCGACGCAGACGAATCAGGGGAAAGAGAAACTGATTCAGACGGCCGAATGGCGCCGTGGCGTGTCTGCGCGCCCGCCGGGGTCCCTCTTGTGAGTATGAGTGTGAGGGAGGTTAGGTGATGTCAAAGATTAATTTCATCGTCCGGTGGTTGTTTGTCTGGGTGGTCTAGGAGCAATTCGGTAATGAGGGTGGTGCGCCTGTCGCGCGGATCGTTGGCAAGATTTTTGCTCCGTGACTCCGGCGGGTAAACGGTGTTGTATGTGCCGAACCGACCGCGGTGTAAAATTTAGGGGCAACATCAGTATCGCCTTTGTTACGTGGGGCGGGGTGCCCATCACCGCGTATGATCGCTAGTCGCGGATCCCCGACTCCTCCTCGGTTGCACGTTCGACGTTCTCCACCCGCACGCTCCAGGACGCCCTGCAGCTCGTGATCTGCTACCTCTACCAAGACGCGGGAGTTTTTGACAAGCCGAAGCTAGAAACTGCCGAAACCGACCGCGAATACAAGTACGAAGACGCCTCCTTTTCGGGAAACACTGGAGACGCGGCGCAATCGGAGCCCAACCGAGCCAGGGACAGGCGTGACCGGCTCTTCTCGATTAGGTCTAAGGCGGGGGTGACCGATGAGGATGACGAACAGCTCAAGCATGGCACTGCCGAGATGTCCATGAACCCGTGGGACGAGGGGGATGAGGGGGAGCACGAGACTGCAGCGGGATTCGGGAGCTTTGGGGGTGCCTATGGGGGCAACGGCAAGTACGATGGAGCGGGGCTTGATCGCTTGATGAGACTCATGGCTGCCGCCAGGACGCTCAAGCTCACCCGTCTACAGGTGGGCGCGACTAGCTGGTTTTGCTGCTGTTGCACGATTTTGCTGTGAAGTGGAGGCGTGCTCATGTGTGTTGGCACGATGCCGGGCAGGAAGGAAGGAAAAAAAGTCGGTACCGTTACCATTAACGACACAAGATATCACACCCACATGAGATAAGACAACCCCCACAGAATACCACACCCGGTGCTAATATTTTCGGATCTCAAACGAGGCGCCAAAATATCACCCGGTTTACACAAGATAACACACCCCCTGAGTTTAGGCCGCATTAAACCACGGAGCCCCTACTACTATCACCCCGGTGATGAACAAGCACCAGTGGTCGCTGGTCGCCCACAGGATGCCTCAGCAGGGAACACACCCAACACACCCTCTGAGTGCCGGGGAACCGCCTCGGATGGAGACCTCCAATGACGTGAAGGCGCAAAGAGAGCAGAATCCCGCTGCATCTCCCTCTGCTTATTCAGCAGCTGTTTCGAAAGCAGCAGTGGCTCGCCCGATAACCTCGTTCTTCCGTCAACGCGAGCAAGGTTCTACACCTGCGGCTCCTCTCGCTGCTGCTGCTGCTGCTTCTTCTGCAGCTGCGGCTGACAAAGCTGGCACAGCAACGATCGCCAATGGGGCTGTCACCACGTTGGCTCAGCAGCCTGCTGCTGAATCACTCTCAGCAGCACGCGAAGGTGCTGATCATGCAGAAGAGTCCACGCGCACCAGTCAAGCTTCCGACGCGGACGAGGCGGGGCAGAAGCCCAGCGATGCTGTCGGCATCGGTGCAAGCTCGACTAGCACGTAAGTACGATGTATGTGTATCGTTCGTTTTGCGTATTGCCTCCGGTGTGTGCAGTTCGCAAACTTTTTATGCGTTCGCGTATTGACTGTTCTGTCACCCGCACAAAATTTCGTCTGTCATTTTTATGTTGCTTTTTGTCACTGCTTCAAAGCGGAGCCTGCAGCATTTGCATTGCGTACTCCAACCCGTGGTCACACAGAAGGGCTACCCCTCCTGCAGTGCTTTGCCTTCAACTTTATTGCGAAAGAGAGTGCAGCACTTTCTTCCCTCTGTGTACACGAGAACCAGCGCTTTCCACCAGACCAGGGACGGAAGCGAGAGAAAAACTCACTTTGCAATGGCAAATTTTACGTACATTAAACGCACATGTAGTGTTTCCTGGTTCGTTTTTTGCCACGTTTCATTACGTTTTTCTCCGAGTGCGATCGCCTCCCCGCTGTTTTTTTTGTAATCTATTGCATCTATTTGAGAATTTCTTAGTCTACTATATTTTCTCGTTGAATTCTAGAAGTCTGTACCCTTTTCGGGGGTAGTTGTCCTGTGACCACGGCAGGCGCCCGCGTTAGTTGGACCATCACCGATTGTAGAAGTACCGAGTAGAGATCTGAACGGAAACAACAGCAGTGCTCCGTATCGTCGGTATGGGTGTGTCTTGTTTGTAAAGATGAGCGTGTTTTGCGTGGTATCTGGCGCGTAGAAACACCATTTTCTGCACTGAGAGCACGGTTGCTGGAACGGTTGCCGTTGTAATATCAACCTGCACGCCTTTGACGTACCTTCTTGGCATCAGATTGAGTTGTTCGCTGGTCACGCGATGGTCCCCACGAACATTCGTTTTTTGCGCATTTTGACGTTCAATGCTTCCTCGCGTCCCGCATGGTTTTTCGTTCAACTAGCGTAGGGTTGGCGACACGCCCCGAGCCCCGCTAGCAGTGCCGGCACCGGTACCGGCACCGGTACCGGCACCAACGACACGTGGAAGCAGGGGCAGCAACGACAGAAGCACCAGCAGGGCCAGCGTCCGTCGATGGCACGAGCGGCGACATGATGTTTCCCGGAGAGGCAGAGTGGGAAGTTGGGTTCTGGGGCGTCCTGGCAAACGTTCGAGAACAAGGGCAAGAGGGAAAAAGGGCAGCTGGAGTTGGCGGCGCGGTGAGGAAGCGCAATCCCTTGCAGTTCAAGGTGGACGCTTTGAGATACTCGCAACGGCGTATCAAGGGGGCACAAGGACCGAACGGGACCGTGCGGATCACATACGCCAGTAAGGTTCTGAAGATCCCCGACAAGGCGACGTTAGCGTTGTGGGTCAAGAACATCGGCAAGTTCGAGGCCGCGCTGGCTGAGGCAGCTAAGTCAGCAGGGGTTGAAGGGTAAGAAGAAAGCCCAGAGGCGCATGTCGCTGAACACCGGAAGGATCCGGTGAAACGCCGACGCCGAGCTCGAGATCATTGACTGGATCAATGATCTACGTTCCGACCGCGTCTCTGCCCGCGTCTCGACAGGCATGATCAAGCAAAAGGCGACCCAACTCAACCCGGGGTTCTTCGGAGACCGGCCCCAGCCGTGCGACCTCGCGGGCAACCTCAAGTACAGGAAGAGGCAGATCGCTTGGTGCAGACGGTTTCTCAAGCGGTACCGCTTTTCCGTGCGGGCGGTTACTCGGCAAGGACAGAAGCTCCCTTCCGGCTGGCCGGAGACCGCCATGGCGTCGGCGAAGGAGTGGGGGGGGCTGAGGTATGACTTGCCTTCCGCACTCGAGCTCGCTGACGGAGTCGGATGCCTGGGGGTTGGGGGGGGGTGGGAGGCAGTAGGGGTGAGATTGGCGCTGGGGGTCCTTGGGCGCCACGTCTCAAGCATGCCATGGCGCAGACGGCCAACATGGATGGATTTCCGGTGTGGTTCGAGCCCGCGGGGAAGACAATGGTGACGGTGAGTAGGTGTGCCTTCGTTTTTCCTCGTACGTGATAGGGTCTAGATTTCTCCCTGTCCCTTCTTCCGCTGACTCGATGTGTTTGCCCTGGTGTATGGTCTCATGTCATTGGAGCTTTTTTTTCTTTTCATTTCTTGCTTTTTTTTTCGTTTCTTGCTTTTTTTCCCTGTCCTCCGCCGACACGCACTTTGGCAACCACTTGCACTCATAAATGCATGTTCCTTTACACCCCGCTTCGACGTCGTTTTTGCAGAAAGTCGGTCAAATGGAGGTCGGTGTCAAAACCGGCGGCAAGGAGAAGACGCGCATCACTGCAGTGCTGACGGTGCTGGCCGACGGCACAAAACCCACGCCTCTTCTTATCTTCAAGGTCCAGCCCTCGCCACCGGGAAAACACCCCGCGGCGAACAGCATCGAGCGCGAACTTAGAACCTACAGGGACATGAAGGGCTACAAGTACCCCCGCGCTATGGCCCACGCCGTGGACCCGAAGGCATGGCACAGCCAGCGTGTCTTCAACGAGGTGTGGGTGCCTCCTCAAGTGTGGAACCGCCGCCCGGGGCGCCAGGGCCACGTGGGTGGCTATCGTCAGCCGGACACGCTGCTGGCGTGGGACGACTACACCGTCCACAAGACGGAAGCGTCGAAGGCTGCGATGGCGGAGTCTAACACGACGCAGTTTCTCATCGCGGGTGGTCTCACTCCCAAGCTCCAGCCTTGCGATGGCCTCATCAACAAAGTCTTCAAGGCCAACATGCCGCGACCCTACGACGACCACATGGCATCCCCCAACGTCAACCGAGGCGACAACGGCTACCCGGAGCCCCCTTCGCGTGGGTTGCTGGCGCAGTAGGCGAAGATTTCGTGGGATGCGGTAGATGCGACAGCATCCGTTCGAGCTGGAAGAAGGCTGGCCTGCTCCTCCCCTTTGACGGCTCCGAAGAAGAGGCTTGGGCCAACAAGGGGCTCGGCTCCGACGCCCACGGGAAGCCCATGGATGTCGGCGCCGACGAGGCAACGACCGAACGAGTCGGAGCCGGTGTCATAATTCGCCGACTTGCTGGAGGTGCTAGAAATCCTCGACGACGACGACACGGCGGTGGAGGTGCTGGAGATGAGCGACGACGAGGACGTGATGGCGCTGGACGAGAACGATGAGGGCGCGGTGCGAGGCGTCGACAGCGATGCCGGTGTTGAGATAGTGGCTTTTAGTGCGGGGGCGGCCGGTACTCCTCGTTATACCCTCGTGCAGATTTTCGTTCAACAGAGTTCGAATTATGTTGGCTGGTTTTGTTGGGTAAGATTGTATAGTCATACTTCATGAATGCAGCAGCATCGTTTTTTTGTTTTCTTGGAGGGGGGATGTATTCATGTTTTGCATGCCTTAGCGGTTAGACCATTGACCATCCCTTTTGGGGGGGGGGGGGGGGGGGGGGNCTGCGTATGAATTAATTTATTTTCTGGTGCTTTCACTTCCAGAGACAGTTGTAAGCACTGTGTAACTGCCTCGAGGGTGCTTGACCATTTCAACACAACGTGGTGCGATCATCCCCCTTGCGCCGAGCGAGGGTTATCCACCCCACACAACATGATCTACTCGACCACCACTATGGTTACCGCCAAAAAAAACAACGGAGGCAAAAAAACCCCGGTAACCTGGTTGCCGAGTTCACGAGGTGAATTGGCTTGTTTTACAACGTCGTTGCCAAGCGACGGGGGCGGGGGGAAAATGGAATCTTCTGCCTCGCAGCGCGTTGATCCAGGGTTCTTCAATGCATGCCACTCAACTTTTCGTCGTCCCCGCTTTCGTGGCATATTCGCTGTCGTGCCAGGCGTTAGTGCTCAATGATCGTTTTTTCGTTGCGTGGCAACACATTCGCTGTCGCATCGCCGGGATCATGTCATCAGGGGGTGTATCACGCCCCCCGTTATCACCCCCGCACAGCAACACACATACCGATACCTTGCAAAGGCGAGAGCAGCACGATAGTTATTTGCGGGCGGTGGTATCACACCCCCTACACGTGTGGCAGCAGGCACGGGAGGTAACTCTTTGCAGGCGCTAACGCACCCCTTCGTTACCGCACCCCTTCTGTCCTTGCAAGTGTGCGGCAGTGGTAGCAAACCCCCTGGATATCACACCCTCTGGGTATCACACCCCTTTGTTACCACACCCTTTTTCGGTCCCTGCAAGTTGTTGTTGTTGTTGTTTCTCATATTAGCTCTAAAAAAGAAAGATTGGGAGCCCGTGGTCTCAAAACCCGGCATACACGACCCCACGAAGAAACAGAAAAAAATAGGGTACAAAAACCACTCGGAAGAGAAACAAAATGATAGAAAGAAAGACCAGCTACCGCACCAAACGAGAAAGAGCGTCGAGGAGACCGATCAAAATAAAATAAAAGGAGAACGGGGAACGCTTCCCACACCCGCCTACAACGCCGGAGGGTTCCGTGCCGGGTTCCCGCCGACCAGGCATCCCCCGCCCTGCACCACACCCCAGGGGGTGCAGCAAGACGGGGGGCGAAAAACAAACACATATATATTCCCACAAAAAAAATAAAAAATCGAAGGACAACGTACACCAGTACCAGGTACTACAGCAGTGCAGTATGCACCAGCGCATTAGTGTAGGGTAGGCACCGCACCAAAGAGGCAGCAGAGGTGGCAGGCAGCCAGCAAAGGAAAAAACAAAAATAACAAGGAGCTCGAGGTATCGTCCAAGATCATCGTAGAGAGGGCATGGAGAACAAGAAAGAAAGAAAGAAGAAAAGCACAAAGAGAGGCCGGAGGCAATACTAAGAGCATACAGCTTACGGCAGGGAAAAGGGAACACAGGGTGCGACAACATCATCAGTTGGGTACGTCGTTCGCCGCAAGCGCGGCCTTGGCCGCCCTACTCGCTTCTACAGCAGTGTCCGGTCGCCGTTTCTTCCCCCCCCCCGCCGCTTCCCCGATTCTCTTTCTCTTCGGGCCCGGGGCGGCCGTACTCTCCGTCTCTGCTTCCTCCGCGCGCTGGCGCTGGCGCTTCGCGGATGCTTCCGCCTCCTGTCTGTGCCATTTCCTCATGAACCATGCCGCCCCGTCCTCGATCTTGTCGTACCACGCCTCCTGGTCCTTGGCGCTCTCTTTCCATCTCCCCCCCTCCTTCTCCTCTTTCATGCCAAACGCCACGAGGTCCTCTCCTAGGCGACACACCCAGTCGCTCTCCTGCCCGCCCCGGTATCCGGTACCCCCCGCCATCGCTCCCAGCAGCATGCGCTTGGGGAGGCGGTTGTCCTCCATGCGCATAACGAAGCCCGCAAAACACAGCCTCCGTTTGCGCACGGTGGCCTCGATGGTTTCCTCGCAGCCGGCCTGGATGAGGGCCTGGGCGTAGGACAGGGGTCGGTCTGAGCGCTTCCGCTTGCTCCAGCCGATACACCGTGTCAGGAACTGGCGGTGGGTCCCATTCAGCTTGGTGTAGTGCTCCGCTGCCAGGCTCCACGAGGCGCACCCGTATAGGAGGGTCTGCACCACTTCAGCCTGGAGTAGTCGGATCTTGAGCTGGCGGTTGGCCCGTTTCCTGTCGTACATCGAAGTGCTGTGTGGTAGGGGTATCACCCCCCCTTCATGGCTCCAACGGCCGAACTTTTGTCAGCCGAGCTACATAGGGTATCACACCCCCCACAGAATGTAACACCCGGTGATAGTTTTTTTCAACGCCAAAATCTTATCCCCGGGGGGTGATTTCTTCTGTCGTATTCCACGAGACCTCTCTGCTCTTGTGTGGAAACAAAAGACAGCCATGAGACGCTTGGGGCACTGGTATGTGTCAAAGGCGTTGGGACAGATATTTTCGTGGTAGACCAACCAGTAAAGTGTGTTTTTTTTTCTCTACTTATTTCCTTTGCCTACGAAGGTGCCCGTTGCGTGCTCCCTCATGGACGTTGGGACGTTTGGCGCTTTTGTCAAGAGTGACAAGTGTTTTTCGCCGCTCCGGCTCGCTTCACGTGCTGGGCGGTTAGACTAGACCACGGCCCTGGATCTGGAGTAAGTAAAAACACAAGCCCTCCCTATTTTTTCACGATACCGACTGGAGCCACATCGATTCTGACGTTATGTCATGTCTGTTCCAGGGATTATGTGAGAAACGGGCAGAGGCGTTTATCGACTGCCGTACGGTCCACAAGGTGCTTCGTCGTGCCGCGGAGGGCGGCTTCCCCTACCTCAAGCGAAGGTGCCTTGAGTTCTGCCTCGTGCACCTGGGCGAGGTGAGTTCTGCCCAAGACAATTCGTGTGGGTTGTGATTCTATGCGCGTAAGCACATAGAGCATATCGCTGTTTGGGAGCGTGGTCAATCCTGGGTCCCTGGTATGCGTGTGTATGTTTTCCCAAGTAGCGGTGTACGGCCAGCACAGCCAGCCGTGTGCAAGATAGAAACAGTTTTTGTGCTGTACGCGAAGGGAAAAACGTCGATGCTTTCTCCAAGTGCTGTAGCGGTGCTGGGCGCTAAAGTGTTCCGTCGCTCGCTGTGTGTGATGATGTCGAGGTCATCAGGTGTGTGCCCCTCCAAACTCGGCAGAGGTGGTGCGAGAGCTGTCCAGCCACCCCCAGGTGCTTGCGGACGTGCTGAGCTTGTCGGCGGCGTCGGAAGGAGCGAAGCATGCGGCGGCCAGGGAGGAGTCTTTCGAAGGTGACGGGGCTATCCCGTGCATCGAAGCCCTCAGGGATGAAGCTGCTTCCGTCGTCCCAGCGGAAGACTACCAGGCGAGAAGATGGGAATACTGTCGCTGTAAAATTTGCGGTAGCTTTAGCTTTGGCCGAAACCACAAGATGCTTACGGTACATTGCAGATTGCAGACGCTTACGAAGGTATTTGCTAGCGTTGGACAACAGGGACAGTGTTTACGGCACATTGCAAACGCTTTGTATCAAAGGTATGTACGGCTTTGCAGTTAGTTTGGATTTTTTGCCATTCTTGTCGATGAATCAAATGTGGGGGTCAATTAGTGCCTTGTCTGTATTAATGCATGGGCCTTTCTTTTTTTAGCAAGGCATCCCCTCCCCCTTTAGGGTTGATGTATATTAGAGTCAATAGCCAGAACCCCATCACCCTCTCTTACCCCTACCACCGTGGACAAATAATAGACTACCCCACGGGACTCGGGACAACAAAAGGTCTTGGTTTGATTCATGGTTGTTTCCATTACGTCGCGCACTTTGCCGTCAACAGGGTGATTTCCTCGCACTGTTCGAAGAAGTCGCCGCCGAATCGGTTGCCGCGGAGGGAGGGAAGGAGATATCGCTGCCCCGCCCCACACATGCCGGCCACGCCGCGAAAGCCCGCTTGGATGAGAAGAAGAGGCAGCCAACACCCGGCCCCGTCACTTCCTTCGCCCAAGGTAACGACAAGGGAGAGCCCTCGAGGATTGCCGGCGATGGAAATGGAGAAGGGGGCGTCCTCGAGCCCGGGGAGAAAGCAAGAGCTGCTGGCTACAAAGACGTTGGTGAACGTCCTGCAGAGGCGGAGGTGTGTGGTGTTTTATGCTGTGTCGTGCGAAATTGATCGGAGATGCTCGCTCCCCGATGACGAGTTTCCTCTGTGTCTCGGAACAATGACGTTTTGTGTCATGATCCGCGAATCGAGTTGTTTCACATCCACCCGATGTTGTAGAGCCGTATAGTACCGACCGACTCTTCAGAATCTTTCATCAGATGCTCAACACGTAAGAACTTAGCTGCAAAGCAACCGGGATGAGTTGGGGTGGTAGACTAACAACGTTGATTTCCCTGCGCAAGCCAGGTGAGCGCATCGTCGGTGCTGCTGTTTTGCCTCGGAGTGCTTTTTCTCTGCAGTAACTTGTTGTTTTTCGTGTGTACAACATATTTTTTTCGTTGCCCTCTGTTGTGTCGGCACATTGTGGAGTTCGACATAGCGAAGGAGACAGCATGCGCTTACCTGACCATGGATCGAGTGCTCTCTAAGGCTCTTAAAGGCTTTCTTTCCGTGGAGGCCGTGTGACGCCATGCCGCCATCTTCTTTTCCCCTTCCCTTTCCCCTTGCCTTTCTCATTGTACTGTATGATGGGTGTGAACGACCAGGGTGATTTTAAGATACGGGCGGGCGAAGGCATGCCGGCGGTAACGGTGCACAAGAGCATATTGGTGGCGCGCTCAGGGTTCTTCCGAGCAATGCTAGAGGGAAGCATGGCCGATGCTGGCCAGGACGAGCTGACACTCAAGGTAACCATCCATGTATTGTATCACGAAACAGAGCTCTCTCCGAACACCTGCACACCATCTCGGACAACTTCTCGTGTCTCTTGTACCTACCTAAGGTTATATGTTGCGCTATATTCGAGTATCGTAGTCCGTGTACGCGGTTCTCGCTTCGCTGTCCTCCCATCGTCGTGCATCTGATACACCATCTTGCTTCTTTTCTGTTGTGCTGCTGTTTGTTGGGTTATGTTGTCTTCCCACCGTCTGGTCCCGGCGGCCTATTGGTTCAGTTCGAGCCTGTTGTGAGCATCTGCGCTCTTCTGGAGTTCATCCGCTTTTTGTACACCGGCCGCTCGGGGGATGACATTGAGCCGTTGATAGCTCTCGAGGTGCTCTTTCTCACAAAGGGCGACGAGGGCTCCGGCGGTAAGACTAAGACTAACACTAACACTAACACTAACACTAACAGTATGCCTAGGACTAAAGACTGAGACCATGCCGTTTAGCTGTTAACGTACCGTGACTGCTCTGTTACTCCACGACTAATCATCGAAGGACCAGTGCGTCGTGGCCAGATTAGTCGTATGTTTGTGGCGGCGGCAGCATCGAATCAGCATCGAATCGGCGCCAGCACGGGGAAAGGAAGGACGGATCGCTCGGTACAATGAGATGAAGGCACCGTCCTAGTTTATGGTATTGTACTTTGTCTGTCCCTTGTTGTCCTGATCGATGTTGATATCGAATCATAAGTAAAAGAGGGGTGCTGATTGGTCCGTTAACCCCGAGGCGAGACTTGCCAGAGCGGAGTCGATAGAGTTGGTTGACGGGCACGGGTAAGCCTCCCTTTCTCTCTCTCTGCGCTCAGACTCGAGACCTTGCTGCGCTAGTGCTATTAGCATCGTTCACGGTTGCTTTGCGTGCATTTCAAACAGAACAGAGAGGCGCGATCTCCGTCTCCCTTGTCTCCTTCGTACGATAGTACGTTCTGATACAATGCACTCTTGCCGGCCCAAATGTGCCCCAATGCACGATGGATGTCGGTTGCTGCCGGATGATGTTTGTTGAGAAGGGTTTTTTCAGGTGGCCGGGACCGACGAGCTGAGACATTTCTGTACGTTGAGGCTGTTCAACGGGATGAATAGCGACAACGCGCTCTCGATACTGGTGAGACTCAGACCGCGTTCCACAACGTTGTTGGCGATCGTACACTGCTGCTGACATCGGTGTTTCCATTTTGTGGGAGCTTGAGGTTGTCCGGCGAAGTCCTGCGTGCTTTGTTCGCGTGGGTAGACCATTACGGCAGCAAGAGCTTTGATGGACGCACGCTAGTAGTTGGTGGCGGTTTGCAGGGGTTGACGATTGGACTGGGGATGACTTGTGAACACAGCAGTTGGCGAAACTCTCGATACAAGTCTCCGCGTGGTTACTGGATTCAGTCGTCGTCTGTCTCGAGTGGCCCCGGTAAGTTTTGTTGATTGATTTCAGCATGTTGAACGACTGGATACCCCAGAGCTTCCTCTGCCCCCTGCCAGATTGTGTCTATGAATACTGAACGATGGTTGAACCGACCATAGAACAATGCCACTGTTGGTTGTTAAGTGTGTGGCTTACCCTGGGCCATGGGCAATCAACCAATCAAGACGGGGAACAACAGCAGGCAGTTCCGCCTCCTGGCGAGACAGAGTTTGTTGCGTTACGCCAGCCATCATCGCTCGTAATTGTTTTGCTTCACGCCAGCGTCAGAACTCGACCTTCTCCTCGTGTCTGTATTGTTGCCAGGTTCGCGCTAAGGCCTTCGGCGATGAACGGGTGTTGGAAACTGCGATCGACTACATCCTGGGCCACTTTGACAGCTGCATGGCGTCCCTCAAACCGCCGGGCGGCTTTGGAGGTGAAGCTGACAATGGGGGTTATACGCTGGAGGAGGATTCGATGACAACGCTGATACCTGCTTGCTTGGAGGATGACGAATCTCCCGCCGTCGATCTGCTCCTTGCCTTGGCTAAGAGGTGTGCATGCATTCCAGTATATGTGCGTCTTACCACAAACATGTGCCTTCAGTTGCGCGTTTGTTTTATGTTGGATTGAAAGCCCGGCACACTTTCCTTTGCATTCCGTTCTTTTCCGTGGTGCACAACCAACGCATGGAATACGACGTCGCTTCCAACCGAGAAAGAGAAACAGGAAGAGGGGCTGCCGTGGGAGGCCCTCAGATATGGAAACACGGTAGATACCTCTTTTTGTTGGAGTATGTGCTGCGTGCCCCCCCCCCCCCCCCCCCCCCCCCCCCC